TGAGTGAGGTAGTGACTAGGGAATGGAGGAGCCAATGATGTCACTAGATGGTAGGAGGTGAGCGACTATTAGGTTACTTTCCAGGCAGGAACAGGGTCATGCTGGGAAGAAGGGTTTGTTCTTTGGTGGAAGCAACCATCTTGGCATGATGTCACACAGAGGAGGGGGCAAGGCATCATAGGAAGAGGGCAGCTACTATACATAATAGCTGCTGAGGTAGTGGGAGACCTATCACTGTTAACTGTATGATATACTGAGTTCTTGTTCACTGTGGGACTGTGTGATTCAAAAGTTAATTACTCCCCTAGGTTCTGTTGTAAATTTGATGGTTGGAGTGTGTTTGCCTCGGGACAATGGACAATCAGTAATAGGGCGAGATTACTCAGCCATCTGTTTGCCCTAAATCCAAATGTCCCGGGGCCCAGTATCTATAGGACAATCTGTAAATAGGGTGGTCGTAACTGTTAGTCAGGATGTCTGCTGACCATCAGCATGTGACAGTGAACCACTAACCTTTGTTCTTTTTTTCTGTGAATCCACATGTTAACCCCCGCCTTAACCCCCTATAAAACAACCTCGGACTCTGAGCCAGGTGCCTCTCTAAGCTATTTTGCTTTGGGAGTGCCATCTGGCCAGACTAATAAAGGTCTGTTTCCCAGCTTGGCTGGTGTGTTCCTTCCCGGATGGTCTTCGCTGTAGCCAGCTCCTTGGAGCGTTTGGTAAGGCTCTTGGTCTTACATTCTGAAGGCACCGCTGGGATTCCTGGGTGTGCTTCACTAGTCAGCTCCTCGGAGCATTTGGTAAGGCTCTTGGTCTTACATTCTGAAGGCACCGCTGGGATTCCTGGGTGTGCTCCACTTCAGCTCCTTGGAGCATTTGGTAAGGCCCTTGGCCTTGCATTCTGGAGGCACCGCTGGGATCCCTGGGTGTGCTTCACTATAGTCAGCTCCTCGGAGCGTTTGGGTAAGGCCCTCGGTCTTACATTCACGAAGAGATTGAAGAATGAGTCCTAGGAACAATGGAAGAGTAGGAAGATATTTATTGATAGGAAAGCTCCTGAGGGGTCAGGAAGGGTCCCAAGTGGGTAGCCTGGGGAATCCACTTTACAGAGGAGTTTTATAGGGTGAAACCCACATGGGTACAGTGTGGGCAACAGCCATGATCGTCCAATAAGGTTACAAGTGTAGTCAGTGATAGACAAAATGGCGTTGGGGAGGTCTGTTAATCAAAATGGTGCTAGCTCCTCAGTTAAAGAGGTTGTTTCCTCTCCCAGAAAGAACTGAACACGCCACCCCGCCCCAATATTCATCCGCCAATAAGTTTAAACTCCCTCACGTGCCTCAGCAAAACAAGCAATCCTCAACCCCTATGATGCTCTCCTGCCATACAACCCTTTATAAATCTCAACCAGTTAGTCTCTGGCTCTCTCTCTGCATTGTTTGAGACAGCCCGGCAGCTCTTTCCCCAATAAAGCCTTGCCTCAGGTGCTCCCGTTTTGGCTGGATTTCTTCCACTTAGGTAAGGGTGGTCCAATTGGGAAACAAGTCATGTAACAAGTGTGGATGGAAAGAACAAAGATTCTCCTAGGAAGCAGTGGGTCCAGAGGTGTCTGGTCACCCACCAGGGTGGCTGATGTCTATCTAGGCTTCATTAGGCCCCTTGTTTGTTCTTTGAGGAGGTCATCTTGTCTTTGAGGCCTGATTTTCAGTCAGTGTATCTCGGGTCCCAGCTGTGGTGTCTTTTACCTTTGTCCTAATCCTCTCAAGGACCTAGCCCTATCTGACTGCCTATAGTATTTCTATCTAATTCACCTGTCTATAATAATTGTGCTCAATTATTATATTATCATTTCCTTCCCACCCAGGGAATCTATGAATGGTTAAGTACAGTCTTTATCTCTGACTAGTGAGACCATTTAAACAACACACTGAGCACTTGGCCATTAGCGTTGCTAACACAATTAGCCATATTCCTTAATGTGGGCCTAAGAGCTAGTCCATTTCACTTTCTCACAGTGTTCACAGAGGTAATTGCTTCAGTAAACTTTTAATGAAGTGTGATATATATATACCAGCTCTGGGAAAGCCAGTCATGCTTTCACACTGGGCCAGCCAGGGTGTCCCAGTAGGCCAATGCCAGGTGACAATTTCATCTCAGATTATGGGGTGTGTGTGTATGTGTGTGTGTGTCCTATTTTATTTTATTTCTTTTGTGGGGTTTTTTGGTATTTTTTTTCAAGTACTGGGAATTGAACTTTTTTTTTTTTTGGTACTGGGAATTGAACTTGGGTCCTTCCGCTTGTGAGGCAGGCAGCAGAACCACTGAGCTAAATCTCTGGCCCTATTTTTTGGTTTTTTGAGAGAGGATCTCACTATGTAGTTCAGGCTGGCCTTGAACTCACAATGTAGCCCAGGCTTGTTTTAAACTTGCAGCAATCCTCCTGCCTCAGCCTCTTGAGTGCTTGAGATCACAGGTGTGCACACGCCCTGCAGACCCTTTAATCTTTTAATCAAATGACAAACCCAGTGAGGCAAAGATAGCTTTCAAATGAATCGGTTTATTGCAAGACACACAAAAGCAGAATAAACAAAAATAAGCAAAAGGAATATGTGAAAATATAGGCAAAATAAATAAAAGAAAACTACTCAAGCACTGTGAGTCTATAGAAGTTCTGGAATGGTTTGGGAGTCCCTTTGTTATGGGCTGGGTTTGAGGGTCCCTGAGCCTGAAATAAGGAACTTAACTCACCCTTTTAAAATAAGTATGCAGGGCTGGGGATTTAGCTCAGTGGTTCCAGCTCCTGCCTCAAAAGCGTAAGGTCCTGAGTTCGATCCCCGGTACCAAAAAAATAAAATAAGTATGCAGGTTTGCTGACTCCTGTCATGGAAAAAGAATATTCAGGGCTCATCAGTAAGAGGCATGAGGGTTTATTATGTAAGACCGAGGGCCTTACCAAATGCTCCGAGGAGCTGACTGCAGCGAAGAACACCCGGGAAGGAACACACCGAACAAGTTGGAAAGTAAAACAGACCTTAGTCTGGCCAGACGGCACTCCCAAAGCAAAGTAGTTTAGAGAGGCGACTAGCCCAGAGTCGAGGCTCTTTTTATAGAGGGTTGCAGGGGAAGTTAACAGGCGAAATTTACAGAACAGGAACAAAGGTTAGTGGTCAGCTGACACGTACTGATGGTCAGCAGATGTTTGTAGATTGTTCTATAGATAGTGGTGTCCGGAACATCAGTTTCCAACAAAGAGTTGAGTAATTTACTTTGGGACCTTATGGCTGATACAGATCTTATCTAGTGAACTAACAAGCATCTTTATCTATTTACTCACATTCACAGTTGAGGCTAGGGGAGTTTTATGATTACAGAGTTATGCAGTCCCACAATTAGAGGTAGAGGAAGATACAGGATGCACTCAAGAGTGTAGTGTGGGTGCTCTGAGAAATGAGGCACACTACAGTCAGGAAATGGGTATCATCTATGTGTTTTGGGAGGTGGAAATCTGTGATAGTCTGTGCTCTCAGTCTTAGTCTCAGAGAATGGGAGAGGATGGTCCACCCCTAAGGAGCCCTTCCTGTGAGAAATGCCAAAAAAGACATCCCTTCCTGGGTGGAAGAGGACCATTTGTGAGTAAAAGGGAATGGCCAGATCCCTTTTGGAGCTAAAAGGGGGTTGCTTAGGTTTGCTGTTTTAGGAAAAGGAAAAAAAGTAAATAAACCAGGCTTGTATTCTGAAGTTGCAGTTTTTCTTTAAAATGCAATTTTTAAAATCCTGATTTCCTTGTCTCCTTTCTACCTAACTTTATTTCTTCTACCTCACCTTTAAGATAATGCTGGAGCTGTACAGACAGGGTGGACTACAATCCATTGCTCCCTGTGCTCCTGAGACTGAGGCAGGAGGATTATCAGAGGTTCAGGCCAGCCTGGGCTACATAGTGTAGGGACAGGGGTCCCATAGTTAGGGAAAAGATAGGACAAAGGCCTCATTGAGCTTTATTAAAAATTAGTACTGAATTCTACTAAGGGCAGCTTCTGCCTCTACAGCCAGACTCCAGCAATTAATTAGAAGACAAAGGCAAAGAAAGAGGAAGAAACCAGGCCCAGGAAGGTCCTGTGTATTGTGATTAACATATGAATCACACACTTCCTTTTTACTTAATCCCTTAGCCTAAACTACCTTTTTCTAGGGTCCCCACTCTTACTCCAAAGGATGGGGAAAAGTCATGGCCAGAAAAAAAATCCAAGGTTAGGATGAAAGACAGCCAGGGAGCCAATTAGATTCCAGGAGCTGTGCAAGGCATAGTGGCACACACGTCTGTAATCCAGGAGGATTGCTGTGAGTTTGAGGCCAGCCTGGGCTACATATTGAGACCCTGTCTCAAAAAAACCAAAAAGAAGAAAATAAATAAATAAAGATTCCAGGAGCCTACATGGGGAGAAGGCTCTAGATAAAAGGAACTGGCGACCAAAAATCCATGAGCATTTCACTTTTGAATGCTCCCTACTAGTCCAGAGTAGCTGCCTGTCATCTCTGTCTTGTCCCCTACCCCCACCTTCAATTAAATCATCTTCTCTTTTTTTTTTTGGTACCAGGGATCGAACTCAGGACCTTGCACTTGTGAGGCAGGCGTGGTGCCACTGAACTAAATCCCTAGGCCTGCTTCTTTAGTTCTTTACTGATGCTTGGTTTAGGATTACCAGGACCTGCATGTTCCAGCAGAGCAGTGGCATGGTGAGTGGCATGGCATAGTGTACACTGCTCCCCAGATGTTACAATAACAAGACCCTGTCTCAAAAAAAAAAGAGACACTGGAACAGGTGTGGGTTGCTGTCAGCCATCACTGAGGCTGTGAAGGACTTGTCCCCCAGCAGGGTGTCCTGGAGCCCATGCCTCAGTTCCTGCTCAAAGACAGTAGTCACAAGGATGTGTCCAGTGGAAATGTGAAGCCACTAGAGTTTAGGGTCCCAGCAGGTGCCTCCTTTCAACTGTCAGATGTCAGTTTTGGAGAGAGGAATGCAGGACATCACCTGGTGCCCAGTGTCCCTGTGGGTCTCAGCCAGCCAACTCTCAGGGTGACACTCAGCCAATCACTTGGCTCAGCTACAGCTTTTGTGACAAGAGGAAGCTCAGAATGAGTGTCTGCTCTCTAACCAGAGGGTCACATTAACCATAACTACACTACTGATTTGCTTAGATTCATAAGAGAGACAGAGTACAAAATAAATCACCACTGCTCACCTCAAAACTAGGTAATCACCCGGCTGGGGATTTAGCTCAGTGGTTTCTCTGCCTGCTTCGCAAGTGCAGGACCCAAGTTTGACCCCCGGTGCCAAAAAATAAACTAGGTAATCACCATCCAGAATTTTTTGTTTTGTTTTGTTTTGTTGGTATCGGGGATGGAATTTAGGTCCTTGCACTTGCACAGCAGGGGCCGAAACCACTGAGCTAAATCCCCAGACCTTGTTTTGTTTTTTGAGACAGGGTTTTACTATGTAATCCAGGCTGGCCTTGGACTCACAGCAATCCTCCTGCCTCAGCCTCCCAAATCCTGGGATTACAAGTGTGTACCACCACACCCTGCAAGATTTCCAATACTTAGATTACTTTTGCCAGTTTTGGAGCTTTAGTCAAATAGAATCATAATACATATTTTCTTTTGTATTTGCCTACTTCCCCTCAACATAATATCTTTAAGGTTTTTTATTCTCTTTGTTATTCCATTCGGTAAATATGATAACTTATTTTTTGATTAATTGCTGATGGATATTTATATAATGTAAAATTTTTGGTCATTAAAAATAGTTCTGTGCTGGGTGTGGTGGTACATACGTATAATTCCAGATACATGGGAGGCTGAGGCAAAAGGATTGCCAGTTCAAGGTCAGCCTGGGCAATTTAGCAAGATGCCTGTGAGACTGAACAACAGTTACTCCATTTTGTAATAGGGCCCCAACTTGTCTGCTTCTGCTATGGATCACCAGGTAGACATCGAATTCCAGGGATGTGCTTGTTGTTGTGTCAGGAAGGTCTGTTGTGTGTGCAGTGTTCCATCATGCTTGCCCAACTCCATATCTGAACATATTATCTTAAGAACAATCTGTAAAAGTTCCTTCTGCATTTCGCTTCTGTATTTCTCTTTCTGCTTGCCAACTCCCTTCTAGCATCTCCTATAAAAGGACCTCAGGCTCTGAGCCGGGCACCTCTCCAAACTTGGAGCTTGGAGAGTGCTGTCTGGCCAGACTAATAAAGGTCTGTTATACAATTTGTCCGGTGTGTTCCCTCCCGGGTGATCTTCGCTGTAGTCAGCTCCTCAGAGCATTTGGTAAGGCCCACGGTCTTACATTCTGGAGGCCCCAGCGAAATCCCCGGGCTGTGGCGGGATCCAGCAGGAGACTCTCAGGCACAGACCTCGGAAAACCTCCGGAGGTAAGCTTTCGGCCAGTTGCAACTGTTTGTTAAGTCAGCAGTGAGGTGGCTGACGATCCAGGAAGCCTCCCCTGACCCTGAGGTTCCTGATGAGGAAAAAAGGAAGATTTATTTTCATTTTGTCATGGCGCCCCGTTCGTCTTGTCTTTTGTCTTCTTGTCTTTTGTCTGTTAGTGTTGTCTGTTGTGTGTTGGATTTTACTTTTTTTTTTTCCCAATCCTTATCAGGAGCAGAGTAATGGGAGGAACCTGTTCTACCGGGTCCACTCCCCTTCACTGGTTTCTCACTAATTTTAAATTGGCTTTTTCCTCCAGAACAAGAAGATGAATACAGGATAAAATTTTCTCGTGGAAAACTCCACTCCCTGTGCCAACTGGAATGGCAAGCTTTTGGGGTGGGATGGCCAGCCAAAGGGACTTTTGACCCCAGTATTTGCCGGAAGGTGTGGGGCAAAGTCACCGGTTGCCCTGGCCACCCAGACCAATTTCCCTACATAGACATCTGGGTTCAGGCTTGTGAGAAACCTCCGGCTTGGCTGCAGTGCTGTTCCCTCCAAACAGACAATCGCATTTTAGTCGCTGCCCCGAAAGGGCCCCAGGAACTTAAGCCCCAGGCTCCTAAGCTGGTTCTCTCACAGGAACCTGACCCCCTGGATCCCTTAGGAGGGCCTCCGCCCTATGTGAAATCCTCCACCCCCTCAGATGGCTCCCACTCTAGACACTGCAATCCTTCCCTTCCTTGTCTGTTCAACCTTTGGCTCCTACTCCTCTCTATCCTCCTCTCCCTGAGGGGCCCCAGTCCCTGGACTCTGTGACTTCTCCCCCACACATGCAAGCTGGGGCTGCATATGGACCTTGCGAGGTCCCCACTGGGGAAACTAGTTTGGCCCCTCTCTTGCCCCTTCGGGAGACAGAACAAGGTCACTATGTTTATATCCCTTTCACTACCAGTGACTTATATAATTGGAAACATTAAAATCCTCCCTTCTCAGAGAAGCCCCAAGCCCTAATATCTCTTCTAGAGTCTATCTTCCATACCCATGATCCTATTTGGGATGATTGCCAACAACTCCTCCAGGCCCTTTTTACCTCAGAGGAGAGGGAAAGGATCCGGGGCCAAGCTGTAAGGTCGGTACTAGGCAGAGCAGAGGGCCCATATTGAAGCACAACTCCCATCCACCTGACCCCGCTGGCAAACTAATACCTTGGGCAGGAGAGAAGCTCTTCAGAATTATCATCAGCATCTCCTGGCCTGCCTGAGGGGAGCTGCTCAGAAGCCTACCAATTTGAGCAAGGTAAGCAAGGTCCTTCAAGGACCAGAGGAATCCCCTTCTGCCTTTTTTGGAGCATCTGTTGAAAGCATACCATACGTATACTCCAATTGATCCAGACACCCCTGCAAATCGGCAGGCAATAAATTTGGCATTTGTTACCCAGTCGGCCCCAGACATTAGAAAGAAGCTGCAAAGACTAGAAGGATTTGAGGGAGAGAATAGAGAAAAGTTGATGAGTGTAGCCATGAAGGTGTTTATTTGTCCAGAAAGAAAGACTCGAAAATAAGGGAGAGAACAAGGGAAGGATTGGAGCCCTATTAGAGAAGGATCAATGTGCCTATTGTAAGGAAAAGGGTCATTTTAAAAAGGACCGTGAAAAGCTAAAAAGAAAAAGAAAAAAGGAGGCCCAAAAGGAAAAAGGTGGAATGGGAGCAAAGGCTGCCCCAAGGGACATCAGCACAAAAGGCTGAGTTGATTGCTCTGACCAAGGCTCTAGAACTAGGTAAAGGTAAAAGGATAAATGTTTTCACTGACAGCTATTATGCTTTTGCCACTGGCCATGTGCACAGGGAGATTTATCAAAACCGAGGGCTACTGACCTCTGAAGGAAAGACAATTAAAAATAAAACTGAGATATTGACATTGTTACAAGCCATTTGGCTGCCCCGAGAGGTTGCTATCATCCATGTCCATGGGCATCAAAAGGGGGCTAGCCCTGAGGTGATTGGTAATAATGCAGCTGATCTGGCAGCAAAACAGGCTGCCCCCAAATCAGTGGGGAAACAGATGGTTCTGCTCCCCACACTGGTGCTGCCAGAGAAACCAGAGTACACAGATGAAGAAACGGTGGAAATGGCCAAAAAGCGGTGGACCCAAGGTAAACACTGCATGGGTCCACCCACCTTGGCGAGAAAAGAGTGATGGCTGCTCTGTGACCCCATTTTGTCAGCAAGGGAATGCCACAAAAGGCTGAAGACCTAGTGAGACGATGCCCCACCTGTATCAAGGTAAGCACAAACCAGGTGACCGGACCCCCCGGGGTCCGACATAGAGGATTAACTCCAGGAGAACATTGGGAATTGGATTTTACTGAAATGAAACCTGGCATGTATGGGTACAAGTACTTATCAGTCTTTGTAGATACTTTTTCAGGATGGATAGAAGCCTTTCCTACTAAGAGAGAGACAGCCGAGGTAACCGTCAAAAGGCTCTTGACAGAAATAATTCCTCATTTTGGCTTGCCCTTAGCCCTGGGCAATGGCCCAGCCTTTATGGCTAAATTATCTCAATTCATTAGTAAAGCTTTAGGGATAAAATGGAATTTGCATTGTGCCTATAGGCCTCAGAGTTCAGGACAAGTAGAAAGAGCAAATTGAACCTTAAAAGAGGTACTAACTAAATTATGTCTGGAGACTGAACAAGGTTGGGTAGAGCTTCTCCCCTTTGCCCTCCTTCATACCCGGTGTACCCCTAAGCTGCCCCTAAATCTGTCACTCTTCCAGATCATTTATGGGCAATCTCCCCTGATCATCCCTCTGGTTGATTTGGAGTTAAAGGAAAAACTTTCCCACCTCCAACTCCTTAAGTCCCTAAAAGCAGTCCATCAGCTTCAATCAGAGCTACATGATAAGCTGAGAAAAACTATGCCTGGTCCCAGTGAAAAAACCTTTGCAACCCTTACCCTATAAGCCGGGGAATTTGGTTTTTATTTGCAGTTTTGACTCCAAGACCCTAGAACCCCGCTGGAAAGGACCATTTCCTGTCATCCTGGTGACTCCCTCAGCAGTGAAGGTAGCTGAACACTCTGCCTGGATCCACCGCAGCCATTTACAGGGGGCACCCCCCGGAGGAAGCTACGTCAACATGGCGGATCGACCAGAACACAAAGGACCCCCTCAAGATAAGATTGATCAAAGACTAGTTTGGACAATATGGAGGTTCTTGGGGCTACTGTTCTTACCAGCCCCAATGGAAGGGGGATCTGGATACCAGCTGGTGCTGTCCAGCCACACTCCCCAGAACTGGACTTGGTCCTTAGAAAATGCCTTAACAGGAGCTCACATTGCCACCATTACTACTGATAGACAGTCCCATTTTACTATAGACCTGTGTGGTCTGGGGCTTCCAATCATTAGTGGTGGAGAGGCTGGATCTAAGGGTAAAGTTTCACCTGGAAAGATGGGTAAAGGGGGCCATGGAGGGAGGTGTGGAACAGAATAAAAGACCTCCAAGACATAGATATTTATGCCTGCCCCATAGGACATCTAATAGGGTCTCTGGCCCCCAAGAAAAAGAAAAGGCAAAAGGAATCTATAATGTGTCATTAGTTGCTCCTGAATCTCTGATCCAACCATACCTAAAAATCCTGGATGCCATGTACACCCTGTTAAATGAGTCTAGCTCCAATCTTACCCAAGGGTGTTGGCTGTGTTTAAGTCCATGTCCCCTGTATTATGTAGGGTTGGCAGTAAACGGCACCTTCTCAGAAGCTGACTAGAATGAGTGTGATTGGAAACAACTGAGGTTGTCAATTGAGGATATAAAAGGAAAAGAGTTATGTGTTAAGAATCCAAGTGTTACTTCTTCTTACCTGGACAGTATATGTTCTTATCAGACACCCACTGCCAGTAATGAAAAATATTTAAAAGCTGGAAACAATGCATGGTGGGCATGTACAAATTGTATAACTCCCTGTTTATCCATGACAGTCCTCAATCAGGAACTTGAGGTACGTGTAATGGTCCACATTTTACCCCAAGTCACTATATATGGAGAAGACCAGGGTTGGGAATACCTAGCTAAGATAACACACACCCGAGAGAAGCGCCACCCAGCACTGATTCCTGTGTTAACTGCAGCAGGCGTTGCAGGATCAGCGGCTCTGGGCGTGACTGCAATAGGACTGCAAGACTCCAATTTCAAGACCCTTGCCCAACAGGTAAAAATAGACTTAGGCCTACTTACCGAGTCAGTGTCTCATTTGGAAAAACAGGTTGATTCTCTGGCTGAGATGGTCCTTCAAAACCGCCGAGGACTCGACCTCGGGTTTATGAAAGAGGGAGGGCTATGTGCAGCCCTAGGAGAGTCATGTTGCTATTATGCTAATAAATCTGGAATAATAAGAGAAACCCTGGCCACTGTAAATAAACACCTACAAGAAAATTATAATAGGTTGATAAAACAGGAGGGATGGTTCCAGTCAATGTTTAACTGGTCTCCCTGGATGACTACCCTTGTTTCTGCCCTTGCTGGACCCCTGTTAATCTTGTTACTAGCTTTGACTTTTGGCCCATGCATTATTACTAAGCTTATGGGCTATGTAAGGGCCTGGATAGGATCTGTTCGCCTAATGATTCTGAATCAACAGGCCAAATATCATCCTTTAAGTGAGCTAGATGAGGAAGAGTAAAGATGGAGACAAGAATACCAAGATAATGCTGTATAAGATTACACAGCCACGGGAAAAATCAGTGGGGAATGTGAGACTGAACAACAGTTACTCCATTTTGTAATAGGGCCCCAACTTGTCTGCTTCTGTTACGGATCACCAGGTAGATATCGAGTTCCAAGGATGTGCTTGTTGTTGTGGCAAGAAGGTCTGTTGTGTGCGCAGTGTTCCGTCATGCTTGCCCAACTCCATATCTGAACATATTATCTTAAGAACAATCTGCAAAAGTTCCTTCTGCATTTTGCTTCTGTATTTCTGCTTGCCAACTCCCCTCTAGCATCTCCTATAAAAGGACCTCAGGCTCTGAGCCAGGCACCTCTCTAAACTTGGAGCTTGGAGAGTGCTGTCTGGCCAGACTAATAAAGGTCTGTTATACAACTTGTCCGGTGTGTTCCCTCCCGGGTGATCTTCACTGTAGTCAGCTCCTTGGAGCGTTTGGTAAGGCCCATGGTCTTACATGCCCTCCCCCATCTCAAAATAAAATTGAAATTGAAAAATAAAACCTTAAAAGGACTTGAGGCCAGGAGTGGTGGCACACTGTAATCCCAGCACATTAGGAGGCTGAGGCAGGAGGATCACAAATTTGAGCCCAGCCCGGGCAACACAGCAAGACCTAGTCTCAAAATAGACAATAAGGAGTATTTCACTTTTGAGTACTCCCTACTCATCCAGGTAGCTCTCCTCCTTTTCTTTTCCCCCTTTCTCCCCATCTTCTCTTACTTAAAAAAAAAGAAAAGAAAATTTTTAAGAAGGGCTGGGGATGTAGCTCAGTACAAAGGCCCTAGGTTTAATTCCTAGTACCACCACCACCACCACCAACAAACAAACAAACCACGTGTTTTTAAAGTACTGGAGATATGTTATTGTCTTAGTCACTTTTCTCATTGCTGAGAAAAAATACCTAACACCCAAATTTAAACTTTATAGTTTGTAGAGGTATCAATTCATAGTTGGCTGGCTCCATGGCAGGGTGGCATGGCAGAGGAGAAACAGTCCATGGTAGGCAGAAGGCAGCAGAGCAATGAGCAGGGACTAGCAGGCAGAGGCAGCCTGCCTCTCCCTTTTATCCCTTCCAGGCTACTTGACCTTTGGGTGGTGCCACCCACACCCAGGGTGGGCTTTCTCATTATGCACACCCAATTATGCCAAACCAATGGGTGGACTAATTTAGTAATTACATGCCCTTAATCCCAGCATCACACACTTAATCCCAGCTTCACACACCCCAGATCCAGCCACCTCTGAAAAGCCCCACTTATGACCACATGAGGCTTTGAGGGAACATCTAGACACAAGCCATAACAGTTACCTAATTAACAGTACTATTTTTTGCAGAGTGGAAGTCTTTGGAATTCATAGGTTTATAATAGAGTACTATACAAGGATGTTCTAGATAAGGTCTGAGGGAGCTTCTGAAGCTGAGATATGGCACCTTACCCACCTTACCATTAAAGTAAATCTGTAGATTCACTCACTCTTGTTGAGGAAAAATAATTTTCAAGACTAGTCAGTAAGAGGCATAGGAAACATTTTATTAGGCAGAAATTAAAAGGTCAAAGAAAATGAATAAAAAGAAAATTCTTTTTTTGGTTTTTTGAGGTAGGGTCTCCCTTTCAGGCTGGCCCTGAACTCACTATGTAGCCCAGGCTGGCCTCAAACTCGCAGCAATCCTCCCGCCTCAGCCTCCCTAGTGCTGGGTTACAGGCATGCACCACCACACGCAGCTTTAAAAAAACTTTTTAAAGAGACCAGTGGTCTATCAGAGAGGGAGAGAGAGAGAGAGAGAGAGAGAGAGAGAGAGAGAGAGAGAGAACCTTATTTCCTGTACCAGGAGAATATTTATGCTTCTTTTGAGGGGGTGGAAACCCCAGGGAAAAAGTGCCCACCCCAGGGTACTCTTCCATATTATAGGTGTGAGCCCAGTTTAAAAAAAAATTTTACTTTTTAAAAAATCCAAGCATTTATTTATTTTCCAAGAATGCATCAAGTACCAACAGCTCACAAGGGTGAGCTGTGTGTGGGCTGTTAAGGACATAAGTGCCCAGCTAAATCTGGAAAATGTTGTCCATGTTTCATGTTTATAGAGCAGCTATTGCTCATTCTTGGGCCAGTCCTATGGCCTGCAAAGGAGGCAATAAAAACCCCAGAGCAACATTCAGCTGAACTAGGATGAAGCCAGGGATCAGGACACTGAGGAATGTCTCCTGGACGATGATCTTACAGCCTGTTTCCCTGGTGTTCCAGCTCTTCCAAAGACAAATGGGGGAACAACAGGCTTCCTTCTGGCCGAGATGAGCTTCAAGTGATGGAAAAGAAAGCCAGAGAGTGCAGGGCATTGTGGCACTCGCCTGTAACCCTAGCACTTGGGAGGCGGAGTTGAAGGGCAGCCTAGGCTACATAGTGAGTTCAAGGCTAGTATGAAGTACATGGTGAGACCCTGTCTCAGAAAACAAAACAAAAATAAAAGGAAAGCAAAGAAAGCCAGAGAGGCTGAGGAAGTGGAATAGGAGTTGCTTTTTATTGACTAGGAAGTGGGCTCTGCAGTGAGGTCCTTTTGGGCTTAAGAGGATCTTTCTGTTTCCCTTCTTCTTCCCACAATTCCTCCTGCTGTCTGAGCTTCCATGCCTATAACCAAGCTACCATTTCCTGTGACATCAGTAAACTCATCTTGCAGACTTCTCCCTTTGGGCTTATGTTCGAAGCTGGCCTTTCATTGGAGAGCAGGATGGCCATCCGTGTAAGACCACTCCAGGAGCTTGGTGAGTGGCCTGCATCCAGGAGGGTTGGTGACCAGGCCTTGCCTGACACACTGCAGTGCAGCCTCCAGACACCTGCTGGAAAAACAGGACAGAATTAGAGGGCTGGCCATGCAGTCAATGTGATGCCTCAGGCCTGTCCCTTGGGCTTCAGAGTCCACAGACCCTCTAACCACTCTCTCTACATTTTTTTTTAATAGCCAGTTTTACTATGTAGTTCAGGCTGGCCTTGAACTTGTGGCAATCTTCGTTGGATTTGTTGGATTCTGTCAACATACTCTTTATCTTAAGATAGCATTCTTGCTCATAGTTTCTCAGGGAAGCCAATTTATGGACTTCAAGTATTCCTGAGGAATCTTGGGTATGATGGGGTCTGCAAGGAAAAGAGACTAAATTTAATCAAAAGAATGTAGATATGGATCCATAGTTTTGGGGACTTTGGGTTGCAAGAGTTGCAGTCTTCTTAGAATTACATACTTTTGGCTGCTTTGGCCATCTTCTTTGTGTTATGGACTGTTTCTTTTCTGTGATGCCCCTCTGCCATGCCACCCTGCCTTGGAGGCAGCTGACTATGGACTGAAACCTCAACAAACTAGAGACTTCCAGGAAGATGGCAGAGTGATGAACAGTAGAGAAACAGCCTCTCTGAGATTTGCTGTCCAGATGCTGGAATATTGCAACATGAGGAAGAGAAGGAGGGAAGCAGGTCCTCAGGACCCAGAAAGGATCTGAAGCAAGAATTGAAGGCAATAAGGAGAGTGAAGAGAGAGACCTCAACACAGAAGAAGGAGGTGGCAAGTGGTGCTTTCTCCTTGAGCCCTGACTTGCTGTGTGGTAGGGATGGCTTGAACCTGAAGATACAAGGTGACTACTGGTGACCCCAGAAGCCTCCTTGGAGAAATGCACCTTTGCAGCAGAGCAGTAGATGCAATGGACTGTGATGGCTGGTGAGTTATATGGGTTCAGACATCCCCTAGGAGAGGGCAATTGACTGGTAGCCATTTTGAAGAGAGACCAACTGATCTTGGAACTCAGAGCAGCTGTGGGTTGGCTCCATCTAGTGGATCCCAGTGTCAGGGTGAGCCAGAACTGATTTCAAACTTGCAGGTGGCACAGGGTTGTAAGCTGAACAAATCAGGTTCCAGCCTCACAGCCAAAAACCAGCCTAAACTTCAGTGAACTAAAGATGCAGGTTCGCCAGGATATCTACTACCCCACTGTAAATTTACAGTTGGCTTGCTGAGATTAATCAACTCAGATGTGGGCTCTGTTGGCCCACTCTGTCTACCAGTGACAGAAGAGATATACCCAGAAATGGACGTTTTTTTCTTTTTTCTTGATTATTTTGTTCTTTTTATAATAGCGTGAACATTGTTTCTAGTTTTTTTGTTGTTGTTCTGTTCTTATTTTTATTTCTTCCTTCTTTCTTTCCCTTCTGTCTTCTTCACCAGTTTCCCAAAGTTCTCATAATCTTCCTTTGTCCTCCAGCCTTGCTTCTAATCTCTTCTTCTTCTATTTCTCTATTTTTCCCTTAATCCTTTTAAATTTTCTCCCCTGAGGGAAAATCACCATACTGAGGGCATATTTACTGTACACAATTTTCTAGTTTGTTTCAGATTTTGTTATATAACCACAAACGTAGTTCATACAGTTAAAAGTAGCATATTAATAGTTACCACAGTTTAGCAGGGTGTTGTAGCATATGCCTATAATCCCAGCACTTGGGATGCTGAAGCAAGAGGATAACTGTGAGTTTGAGGGCAGCCTGGGGTACATAGTGAGTTAAAAGTCAGCCTGAAGGACCGGGGATTTAACTCAGTGGTTCTGGTGCCTGCCTCGCAAGCACAAGGTCCTGAGTTCAATCCCCAGTACCAAAAAAAAAAAGTTACCATACTCTGTCATTTTCTAGGGTGTGTTTGATGCTACTGTAATTGCTGATTGCACTACTTTAGCCAAGGTGACATAATTGTTCTAATCAGTTGTTCTTCCTGGTATGCCAAGAGATTGCCTAAGGGTCATAAACAGTATGATAGGCCAGTGCCAAAGAACCTGGGACTATGCCAAATAAGCAGCAACTTTTTTTTGTACTAGGGATTAAACTCAGGACCTTACACTTTTGAGGCAGGTGCAGTGCCACTGAGCTAAATCCCTGGTCCATAAGCACCAACTTCTTATCCCCAATAAATGGAAGATGTAGGATCTTAGAATAGACTCAAAACCCAAAAGCCAGCTACATGCGGAAGACATCTCTGAGAAGTAGTCATTTCCAAAAAGTTCTAAATACTAGTAATAAAGCTATCTGCCATAAGTAATTTATAAGCATCAACACAGGAATGGAAGTCTAAAGAAAATGATAAGACATTTAAGTGAGATGCAACCCCTAACTTTCATCTCACCAAAGGCAAATCCAGGGGGCAATGAGGTAGAACAATCTGAAAGCCACCCACCTGGACTCTCTGAAGTGATAACAGCAGAAGTAAAAAAGCAGATGAATGAGGTTCTAGAATAAATCAAAGCAGAAATAGTTTCACAGATAACTACAGTGATGATCATAATGAAAGACATGCTTAATGATTCTAGAGGAGATACAGATAAAAAAAGAGAGGAGCTTAGGAAAATGATGGGA